AACCCGCGGGCTCAGGCAATCCACTCACCTCAGCCTCCCAAAGTGCAGGATTACAGGCTGAGCCACTGAGCCCGGCTACTATTCTTATTATGTAACCCTATGCTATAACTACCAATGGAAATGTGTATTCAAAGTGGGCCTATTCCTATGCTAGTGCATTCAATTATTCAAATGGTTGGATTTGTGGGCAACTTCCAATCTCAGGGACCCCTAGGCTTCCCTGATGGAAGCAGGTGGATCTGCACATTGGAGAATTCAGAGTAGGAAGTTGAATAGCTAATAGTTGATGACCCAATAAAAATTAGTTTGCAGCAATGGCCCATTAAGGAAACTATAAATGAACCAGGTCATGATTTTACCTTTTTGCACCAATCTACCATAAGAAATAATATACTATTTTTTTTTATTTTTGAGTTGGAATCTTGCTCTATCACCCATGCTGGAGTGCAGTGGCACATTCATGGCCACCACAGCCTCAACCTGCTGGGCTCAGGCGATCCTTCCACCTCAGCCTTCCAGGTAGTTGGAACTACAGGTGCATGTCACCACACCTGGCTAATTTTTTGATTTATTATAGAGATGAGGCCTCACCAAGTTGCCCGGGCTTGTCTTGAACCCCTAGGCTTAGGCAATCCTCTTGCCTCCGCCTCCCAAAATGCTGGGATTACAGGTGTGAGCCACTATGCCCAGCTCGACAATATACTACTTTTTAGCCAACATAATCAGCATGAACCCGAAGCCCCCATTATCGAACCATGGAAGGGTTCCATCAGATAAAGGATGGGATTATATGACTCACACCTGAATATGGTAGATTACACTAACCAGTCCCTTTTGCTGGGAACTGCAACAACAAAAAGACACTCAGGGCAACATCTTTTGAATACAACCCGACAAGTGAGCTGGTTCCCTTTAGAACAATGCCAAAACCTTATTCTCCTTAAAGACAGTGATTTGTTTGTCACTGATTGGAATCAGACCAGGGGTATACTGGTGAGCTCCCAATGGGACTTGGTGGATCTGTGGTACTAATTTATGGCCTTGGCTGCCCCCAGATGGCTTGGTAGATGCACTCTGGGCCTTCCATGGACCCAAGGACACAAATATAGCACTCTGCAAAAAGCGAGCATAGGCAACTTGCCCTATCTGCACGCTTGATGGACTAGATCTGTTTTAAATGGTATGATTATGTCCTCAGTTTATTTTCACCCACTATAGGGCTGGAAAGTGTGCCCTTCCACATCAAAGCCTGAGCTATGTTCCCACAGCGAACCTTGAATGAAAGCAAAAATAATTTGTAAGGCAGTGCCACAAAATTATGACTTTAGACATTCTTACACATCTCAAGGAGGCACATATGCCATTATCCATACTAAGTATTGCACTTTCTTTTTTTTTTTTTTTGAGTTGGAGTCTCACTCTGTCGCCCAGACTGGAGTGCAGTGGCCGCTCCCGGCCACTGCAGCCTCAACCTG